ACTTTAAAACGGAACAACTCTTTGAAAATTGGTCGAAATGACTTGAGTTTTTTTGTAAAGTTAGAGACATTAATTTACTAAATGATGTGAAAAAAAATTTTGAAAATGTTGCAAATTGGTCCGAATCGCGAAGAATATATTAAAGTTCGTGTTTTACAACTTTTTAATCTGAGGCTATAATGAAAATTTAATAAATACACATCGAAGATTTATGTTAGTTATGTACATATTGAAACTTTCATTGAAATCGGTTAATACAGAAACGAGCGACAGGCATCAAAAGATGTGAGAATTGTTAGATTTCACTACAGTTGTAGATCGAAAGTAGGGAAAAACTGCGGTTTTCAACATTTTTAATCGTTTGTATCTCGTAGCAACGTTAGCCTACTTTGATGAAATTTTCAACATGTATATAACTAACATAAATATTCGATGAGTATTTATTAAATTTTATTATAGCCTCAGATTAAAAAGTTGTAAAACACGACCTTTAATATTTTCTTCGCGATTCGGACCAATTGCAACTTTTTCAAATTTTTTTTCACATCATTTAGTAAATTAATGTCTCTAACTTCACAAAAAAACTCAAGTCATTTGGACCAATTTTAAAAGAGTTGTTCCGTTTTGAAGGGTGTACGAATACTTTTTACACCCATTGTATGTATATAATGGTAGTAATTAGTTAGACTATTCCATTTCGCTTTAACGGCTCCTCTAGTATTGCACATGTCTCACACACGCGGTAGAAAGCAAAAAGAAGTTAGAGCCCGGTAGGGTCGCCGGTAAGAGCGACACATATAAAATATGTATACTATAATGTATGTGGCGGGAAGAGCAAACCGCTTCATAATATCTATAATTGTATAATATTCCTATACGGTATGTATATGCTATCAACGGTAATTTAGTTATTTTATGTGGTTTCTATTCTACTGTTGCCATATTTTTATTAACATAACAATTCGATATGTATAGGGTTATTCTGTGTTTCCCACTAATCCTATTCAAAATATTTTGAAAAGGGAAAAGTAATCATGAAAAGAGATTCCTTTCTTTTATTTTTTTATATTAATAATATAATTGTGTAGTATAGACTACATATAAATGTATACGTTAGAGTCGCTTAAATCTAGCGTTAGGTTAAAACATCTTCGAAGAAACTGTGCTCAGTAATTGATACTACAATTTGTATAAATGTGTTTATAAAATTGGAGATCTCTTAAGCTTTTAAGCATTGCGACGTTTGTTAATCCGAAACAGCTTATTATTAATTTGTTACAGTAGTAAAGTTCTGTCTTCCTTAATCTTCCCATGGGAACACGAAAAACATCACAGTAATTTACATTTAATAACACCAAATATAGTTTACTAATTTACTATTCGGATATACGAACTACTTTGTAACGTTACTTATAATTTATATGCAAACAGAAATTGAACATTTCAACACATTCTCCCGTTACTCAAACTTACAAAATTCACGAAGTTATTAATAAGAAATGATTATCTTACCTTGCTAACATCTTAATAACAATAAAAATGGGTATATGGGTAATAATGGGTCCCGCCGTGCCGTGGAAGCCATTATCATGTTCCCGATTTCAAAGTCAATAGAAGCAACGCATGAGACCCCGCCTTTCAGCGCGAATTTCGAAAATAAATTTAACCGAACTCGTAAACAAGTTAGAGGACACTTCGTGGGAAACGGGCTGGTATCCGGTACACGTTGGCGGCATATGTAAATTTTCCATGTGACTGGCATAGTCGATATATTTACACTTTTCGTTAGTCTAGAGTCTAGAATCTAGAGAGAAATGAGTTCCCTGCGGGACGCATCGAAATGCCGATACCGAAAGATTTTCGTCAACAATTGCGGGGGAATTTTTCAGCCCGAGTGAAAAATAGCATCGATAAAACCATTTTGCCGACACTGTACCGGGTGTCCCATATAAATGTCGCAATGGAATTTCCGAACTATTCTTAAAGGTTCTATTGAATCGTTTCGAACAGAAACTCGACTTAATTCCATCAAAATTTATTTCACTAACTGATCATATTTATGAATTCTTTGGGGTTGCTTATGGCAGAAACAACTTATCGTAGTAGTTTGTCAGAAGATAAAATAATTACTCGTTGGTATATGGTGTATTATAAAAATTAAATGTTAATGTCAAGAAAATTGTATTGTAATTGGTAGATATTATGCGGGATGAAGAATATTCAAATTCATTAAAGTAATATTGAATATGTTCCCTTATTATATGGCATTGAATTCACTTTTGTGCACTATTCAAAAAGTTGTTACTTTGCCATCCTTTGAATCAAATAGAATTGAAGTCCACTGGAAAAAATATGTTCTACCTAGTGCTTAACTGTAACATATATTAAATACCGAGGTGAAATTAATTCACTTTTTGCAATAAAAAGAACAATTGAAAATTAAATTTCAATTCTTGGTCAAATTGACCAGAACGGTGGTTAAAGACTGCATTAAATGGAAAATTACTAAAACATTTAATCAATTCTGTCATGTTTTATACAGTATTCACTTATAAATAAATATTAATAAAATTTGTAAGAGAAAGGTCATAATTGCGGTTAAAAGAAACCAAGCCTAGCATTGATATGTCTAGAGAAAAAAACACATGAGAAACTTTGATTTTAAAATAATTTGCAACATAATCGAGCATCTTTTTAAAGTCTCTTTTCGTTAACTTATGGGGAGGTTCTGAAATTTCACTATGTCCCGAAATCAGAGACACCCTATACGAAACCGATACACACGTAGGTTAAGACCAGCAATCGAAGACCGATTACCGTGATGAACAAAAAGCGGTAGCGCTTATAAAAGATAGAAAAAACCAAGGGATGAAAACAGCGGTCTAAAGTGGCCCCGCACCTGATAGGTTTCCGTAATTACCAATTAATGCGGAATTACACGGGGTGGCGGGCCCTGTTAACCTGGCGAAAATTTCAATAATTAGCTTCGTTGTGATTCTGACGCTCTAGATCCTCGCACGAAATTATCGGGCGTCGGCTTAATTGAGGGGCCCGTAATTACTTCCAGCCAATCTTATCGGCGTTCCGCGAGAGGCACGGTCGTCGATTGTACCGGTGAAACTTTCAAGCAACCGCTCATAATGACTTTCCTCCGATTTGAAATTGAATTTTCCGTTGTTGTCGGGTTACGCGATAACGGTGCCACCCCTAACTATTCGTGGCCGAAATGTTTTGGTTTCTCGAAATTTGATTCATTACTTTCATCGTATTATATTACCCAGGAAACATTAACCTGTCTAGTGGAATTGATTCGCGATTAAAAATAATAAGGGAAAACTAAGAAATTCGAAAAGTAAATAATGAATGGTCAGGAAAAATCTTGAGGATAATAAAATTTAATTGATCAATATTTCGTTACTTACGTAATATAGAATAAAGTATAACCATGATTGTAAAAATAATCCTCTGGACGTACCTGTTTGATAGATATCGCATCACCTAGGTTGGAGCAGTACGGTAACTTGTCATGTGTAAACAATTTCCGTCATATGATAAACAGTATGTACTACTTATATAATACATTAGTTAATGCAGTCACCACTATTGTACATGTACATATTTTCTATCATACGGCGAAAATTGTTTACACATAACAAGTTATAGTGGTGGTCCAACCTAGCCGATTGTCCAAGTTCGGTCACTTTCCCTTATGTATCTAATATCGAGGGAACTCTTCAAGAGCAAGAATACTACTTCATTCTCGTTGCTTCACTGGAATAAACAGTTGTCAGTTTGGTTAATTGAAACTAAAATGAACACATGCTTTTTCAAAAGCGTTGGGATATTATTGTACATTAGTTTCATAGAAAATAAAGCTGTTTTTTACATTCCTACCGAAAAAGGATTCAGATGTCCTATTCTTGTGATCGTTCGTGATATAAATGATGCTAGCTCGAGAAATTGCACACTACTTGCAAAATAGTGACTAAGAATATTCTTTAACGGTCCATTTATACTCTGTGCTTGATGGTCACAAGTGTTATATGTATAGAGCAAACGATAGATTCTTAAGGAATTTCTGTAAAACAGCTCATTCACGGTATACGTAGATACTACAATTTATTCTCGGTAGCAAACGTGACTAGGTATTTGAGGCTCCACTAACGACACCAAACAACGAACTCCTAAGTAACAGTAGTATAAGAAGAACGACATTCTTTTTCCAGTGTCTTCCGAGTTATTAGTCACCTCCCGCGAACCAGCCAGAAACCGGGTCGTTCCTTCGAGCCCGCGCGTGTTCAACGTATAACATCCCAGCGACCCGGTGATCACGTCGCCTGTGAAATCAAATTTCGTCTTCCTCCATCGGAACATGGAAGTTCTTTGAACCGGTCACCTGAATTCGTATACACGCGCACACGCACGGAGCGAGCATCTCCGCTAACAGTGTCTTATCGTCTCACCAAGACATTCGAGAAGTCGCTGAACGAGTTCCTGTGACAACCTGGGACAGGCAATGTTCGAAAGATGACGCACGAAACACGTCAATCGAACTCCACGCTCCCAAGAACACCATTGCAACAGTGAATCCACAAAGGAAATCGCCTAAGGATGTAAAAAGCAAAAAATTAGCCTACTAATTTTCATTAGAACTCTTTATCGACATCGGTCACCAAAATGGCTAGAGTGCGGAAAAATTTACGGAACTCTTGCAGTGACAAAGTTACTATCGTCATCAGTTATCAACGTGCAGAGAGAAGACACGCTACCTTCATCTAAATTATTAGTGTATTTATGAGGACGTGAAATCATCTCTGCCAATGCTTGAGTGGACGATTAAAACGAGTCTAAAAATGCCCGTCAGCTCCCGGTTACCATTTTGATCGCACGAACACTCTCGCCAGAAATGGTTGCCGCGGTTTCCTCGCGATTCTGAGTCGAGGTAATCGCCGAGGAGTCGAATTGTACAAGTGTGACGGGCGCGCAAAAGTGGAGGAAAGATGCGGGTCGAGGTCTTTTTAATCGTTGGCACGCTCGTGGTCTCCACTAGTTGCGGGTGGAGATCGACGGCCGGTGAAACAGGGGTCCACGAGACGTCGAGAAACCGGACTGGCTTCCTGCCGGAGTTGACCATCGGTCTGATAGTGCCGCACACGAACTTCGGCGCACGGGAGTACACGAAAGCTGTGAATCGTGTGGTGGGGAACCTTCACAAGGAACACGCGAAGGACCAGACGATGTTCACATTTCTGGACAAATACGATTTCAAGCAGGACCAGGTCAAGCTGACCATGATGACGCTCACGCCGAGTCCAACAGGTACTTGAAATACACAGAAAAATTACTTTTTACCCTTGTAGCAGCCGAGTTTTATTTTTCAAGCTGAACACCTGATATTTTGTATATCGAATATATTAAAAAAAGAAAATTTGGTAAATATTTAGAATAGGGGTGGCAACTCCGATGACCTTGAGCTCGGAATAATGTTCTCAAGGTCACCCTCCTCAATGACCTTCAGAGGTTTTAGCTGGCGCTCGTTTTTTAATTAAAAAGTGATAAACAAAATAACTTGATAAATATAGCAGTTATTTTGAACATTAAGGGGATGCAGGGTTAGGGGAAAGCCCCCACTCCCTCCCCGCGTAATCACTTAGGTCCGTTACACGCGCGGGGTAAATTACCTACATTATATGAGGGCGTTCACAGTTTTCGTTAATATCTCAGTAACGAAGCCTCAGATTACATTTTTGCTAAGGAAAAAGTTGTTACAATTCACCCCTCCCCCGAGTATCCCATTTCCGGGTCGACCTACATTTTTGTTACACCCTGTATAATGACACAAAAGCGCCTTTTAAACTGCTTTGAGCAATAGGTGGGTGTACTCCGTAAAACACAGCAACAGTTTTAGCCATTAATTCGGTCATACTTGAGTAAAACAAAACTACATACAAGAACTTCAATACAGGCTATAATGTAATAATTATAATACGTGCCACTGAGACACACGACGACTGGAGTAAGACTAATCGCGATCAAATCGTAGACAATTCGCTTGCGTAGCTCGACTGTGCAACGGGCCTTAAGGACGCAGATATGCTAATAATATGGTATTTATACTAGGTAAAATTTAAATTATGAAGTTAAATATACACCTTTATATTGCGAAATTCATTTATTTATAATTTTTTAACAAATAAGCAGCGGCAGCTAAAACCTTCTCAAAGTCATTCAGAAGGTGATCTTTACCACATATGTTGAAGTTCAAGTTCAGTGTATCCCTTTAATAGCAAAAATAACTGCTAATATTTTACAGAATTTTTATTTGTTATTTTCTAATAAAAAACGAATGACGTTTAAAACCCTCTGAAGGTAACTGAGGAGAGTGACGTCGACAACATATCTCAAGGTCAAGGTCATCGGAACTGCCTCCCCTATTCTAAATATTTACCGAAAATTTTTTGGTACAATGATCGTATCGTACCCGAAGCTCTTCTAAAACTCGAGATATACCTAAATTGTTCATTATATCGGACATTGTTGCGCTGTGTACTATTTTTCAATCGGTGATTTCTCGAATGAGATGGATTTTCGCCAGCGTATATCTTTATTTTCAATCAAATCATTTTCTAATAAGTACTCTTTGGCAGATTTAGTATTTATTCTTTCTAGAGTTTCATATGTATCAAATTCAATCGATAGTTCAGTATTTGATACTATTATCTGTACAAAAGTTTGAAATTGTATAGAAGAATATTCTGATCGAGTGTTGGTTTTCATCAGACAATATATCAAACTCATTGTCAGATTCATTTCCATAACTCAAATTGTCATAAAAATATTTTCGAGAAAATTTGCGAAATGTTATTTATTTTGAACTTGTTTTCATTATACTTAACTCACAGATTCTACAAAATATGATATAACTATTTTATTTTATGTTTTCCTTAAATGAAAAGAACGTGCTGCAGTGATCTCTTTTTACGATGTCTAAAGAAAAATAGAAAAAGAATTGTTTCGAAATATTCAATAACACTTCAAATATTTCAATTTTCCTCTAGGTCATCATAACTCTACAGTCACACCTGGGCTCGAAAAATGTAACAATGTCGTTCTAGGGTTGAAAACACACACTAAAGAAATATAACAGCAGAATTTTCAAAATACCACATATACATCGTTGTTCGAAAACCCTTGGCATACGGTTTTTTCAGCAACGTTATTTTTTCAAGGAAAATAAAGTCCCGGAATTCGCATAAATCGCTCGACGATTTTCAAAGCGTCGCCTAGGCGAACGTCATAAAGTGCTCCGTGTCACCGTGAAACCCGACGAAATTGCACACACGTATCTGTCCCGGTTATTCCAAAAACAAAAGAATATTGCCACGTTTCCTCCGCGTCCCTTGGTGGCACACACTCACCTGGCCAGCCCACGGGAAGGACACATTTTCTTCTCTTCCTCGGACGTTCAAATTAATGTCCCGGAGACCACATATCGCCGAAAGTCCCTCGCCTAACCTAGGGACTGGTCAATATCTGCGGCTTAACGGTCTCTGTCGTTGCACGTCGACTTGTGTGTTCGCTTGCGGAAGGTACACGTAACTTACAAGAGGACTTGGGTATCTCAAAAATTGCGATTTTTATTTAACTCTACATGTTTGTAGAGATCCTCAATAGAAGCATCAAGCAATGTTTCCCTTTTGCTGATATTCGGTTCTTTGGCCTGATACTACCCTTAATATTTAATGCAGTAAAAGTTCGATTGGTTCTCGAGAATTGAAACTGAAGCCGGGTACTTACGCAGTAGAGAAATTGATTCTAAATATAGAATCAACGCCGAACAAGGACAAGAATAGCGACTGAAAGAGGAAGTGGTCCGAGAATCAAAATAAACAGTGTGGGTCAAGTTACACTACTCGGTCGTCGAGCCTGACAGTGTGTCAAGGGGAATCTCATCTCAATGGGGCGGATGAACACCGAAATGATTACGCTGTAAATCGTTTTGGGCACTAATGACGAAATTTCTTTTGCTTTACAGTCTGTTGGGACGTTCGCTTTGCTTTTATTTTGTTATATATGAACTGTTAGTAAAAATTGTATACATACAGGATGTATGGAAAATTGTGATATGAACGGAATGCAAATGAGTTCCTGTATAAAAATTGTTAGGATTTTAAAGTGGAAGTTTAACGGAGTAATTATTAACACTCACAGGATTAATTAATACGTGAATATATTTATCACAACGAAAAGAGCTTTGAACAATACCTTTGAACCCCGAACATGTTTTACATACACCACGCTGTTGATCGTGAACCGTGACGCGTACAGACAATAAAACACGCTCATTACAATTTAATAAAAATATAACTTCAACAAAAATAAATAAAAAATATACAAAGAAACTTTTTTATAGGGCTTCAGTGTTAGAGAAAATTAGTTCTAAACGTCTGTCGAACAATCATGTCCAATTTGATAATCGTATTCGGTTATTTTGCATTATTTATATTTGAAGCTAGAAATACCCGCATTTCATGTATAATAAATTAGGTTCTACAATCTGTTTCACAAGAAAATGTACGGATCGTGGAATCTTCCATGTGTCCACGTTTTTTTCAAGTTAAAAGTACACGTAACCCCTGTACCAAAGACCGAACTGATCAGATTTTTTTTACCCTATGCCCTCGATAGTGAAACTTGCGATATGGTCGGAAAAATTGGTGAATGACTCTTTTGCGGTACGTTTCCTCTTTAAAACGATTTCGCAGCGTTTGAACTGTTATGATCTGTTTTTTTTAGTTTCACTTTATTTTAGAAGAAGGGAGAGATTTCAGAAATTTAGCAAACACATTTCTAGCCAATCTTTTCGCAATGACAAAAAGTGCACAATGCGAAGTGATGAGAGAGTGCAGATGCTGTGTACATCCTACCCTTCCTTAGTTATAGTGATAGATGCACTCTTTTTTTTACTGAATTTAATTTGCTTCTTTTCTTTTACCGAACTTCTTCTTGTCCATTGCATCTCCTCGCCTTGTAATGAGATGAGTACCCTGGCATCTACCAGCGAGACGTTGGCTTGTAACGTTAGTACTGCGCACCGTTACTGTGCACGTATAATTGAATAGGAGTTGGCTACCGCGTTTGGTCAAACCATTTTGTTTCTACTTACTATCATGAAATATACACGTGATTCAGATTAATTGTCAAAGTCGATTTTTGCGAAAATTCAGCCGAGAATGATAAAATTTTATTCTATATTGTTAGTACTGGCTACAGATGGCGTTGTACGTAGGACGATCGCAGGACGGGGCCTCTCGCGCTTCTATCGGTTCTGCGTCACCACTGTCGCTGACGTACACGTGTTCTATGTTTTATTTGCATTTTACGTTCTTCTTATTTCATAATGTTTTGTGTGTGTATTTAAAAATAATATTGTAGCGAAAAAGAATGTTTGAATGCGGAGGGATTGCGCGCCGAATAAATGAGAACGAATGAGATCGAGTAATAGGTAAGGTGTGAGTGATTGGACGAATGATGTATGAAAGGGAAGTGGAAGGAGTGCGAACGGAACATAAATACGGGACAAAGAGACAAAGCAGATAGAGTTGGAAAATAAAGCAAACTGATAGCACGTGTCTCATTCAAATTATTTCTAACAATTATCAGAAGTGTGATCGCCACGTGAAACCGTTCGTGGATAATCGTTGAAGGGTGAATATTGCTGTTTGGAGGTGTCGAGCCTTTTCGGTCGGAGTGCATACGGGCGGAAGCGCGAAGTACCGTATAGTGCGAAAATTTGTGAAAATAGTAGCGAGGCCAACGGGCGAAGTACTCGAATATTTCCGTGATGATGGCCGACGAAGTACGAGTAGGCGAATAGCGACATTTCCGCGATGTGACGAGCGTGTTGCCGGCGTTCGACCCTGTTTCCAACGATATTACGGTAGAAGGATGGTATGGATATCGATACGGTAATGGATCGAGAAGATCGAGGAATACGGCGATCTCTACAATTGGGACGAAATCGCGATCAGGCATTACGCCCTATCGAAACTAACCGGAGTCGCGAGAAAATGGCGAGACAGTTTACCACGTGTCGCGCGCTCGTGGCTACAGTGGAAGGACTTACTAATCAAAAACTTCCCGTCGGACGAGAGCATGGTAAGCGAAAAGTTAAAAGCTCAAAATTATAAGCGACGTCTTTATCAAGATATAGTAGAGTATTATTACGAGAAGTTGACCAGGTGCAACAAGGCGGGAATGGGAGATCGCGAGGCGATCGAGTGGATCGTGGACGGGTTGAACAGCCCCCGATATCGAGA